GGTGCTCACTCTGCTCAAACCAGCTTGTGCCATGGATCTTAGTGTAATTCTTGCTCACATACAGCAGCTAGAAACAGAGCCTCCTCAAAAAACCCAGCCTTCAAAGACACAAAGTACTCAGCGGTAAAATCCTGTATGTTTTATTTTTCATTCAATATAAAGCCTTTTTGCTGTCCGTCACATATTCTGCATCCTTAAAAGACCTAATGGTCTGCACTGAAGAATGATCATGGTCTCCACAGGAATGTGTCACACTCTAATATAAAACAGCTTTGTTAGGCATTGTGAGGTTAGGGCTAATGTTTGCATCTCCAAGTCTTCACATCACACATCTAGTAAAGCAGCTACTGTCGCTTATTGCCAGGTCATTCAAGTAAAATCTCACTTGCAGCCATGGTGACTCATTGGTAGTGTTCCACAGAGGCAAATGTTTTTTTAATTTATTAGAAAAACACAGGTAATACTGTAGCTAAAGAGTCAGCTCCTCCTTCCTACTGCTCTCTTTTCATCATCCACTGCTCTACATATATGCAGTGTTGTGTGTTTGAACACAGAGCGGACATGGAGCTCCCATGCATTCGTTTCTCCGTCTAAACGTATTAGAATCAAAAGGAGGGTTATGGGTATGAATCCGTTCCATTAGTGCTGCCTCCACACAGGCCAAAAGCCGTGCGGGATGAAAGGGAGGATTTATCTGCACAGCCTCATCACATGGTGTGACCCGGGGCCTGGAGTAGAGAGGTCTTTCTCTCAGGTGCCATGGAAACCAGCCCACCTCTGGCTGCTTGTCCTGTCCTCCAGTCGCCCTCTGTGCTCTTCCTGTGTAGATATCAGGCCTGTTGAATGCCTGAGTTAGTTTTCAAACAGATTATTTCAAAGCTGTGAGAAGTCTGTTCTGTAGGGTTTTAACTCATGCTTCTACTGAAGCCCTACAGAACTGAAATCACAAGTAAAATATACCTTAAGAAACTACTAGTGCTCTGTGCTGCTGTGCTAAGTTGCATGACCAACACATTTCTGTCTCTCTCAGTCTCTTCTCTCTCAATACAGAATGTAAGTCAGTGAATGTTTGCTTCTTGTGTTTAAGGATGCATAGCTGTTTCTGTTTCTAAACCACAATCCAGGTATGGAGGACCAAATATGACTAGTTAGGTAAATTAAATCCAGTCCAAAAAAATTAAGAAATGTAACAACATTCAGGTTAGGTAAATTCACTATTTTAAATTAAATTTGTCTTAGTACCTTAGTCATCTGTGACATGTATTTCAATTTTGTAATCCTTGACAGGGACTACAGTGGAAATACGTTTTTTCTTTTTTTTTGTGTTATCTCCGACATAACCTGGCATAATGAAAACCATTAGTTCATAAAAATGTTTAAACTTATGATGACTTGATCCTTTTTTACTGGTATTTACATGTGTACACTGGTATTTATGCCCGGAAAGAGGTTTTGCTTTATTTTGCTTTGTTTTAATCAGTTTTATCTACTAAAAATGTGTAAAATGTGTGTAAAATGTTGTTAATAACTATTAAATAAGCTATAAATGACCCTGGCCATTCAAATTAAAGCAACAACCAAGAACCAGATTTAGCATTTAGTATGATATTAGACAGACTTTTTCACAACACTCTCCAACTCTGACTGACTTCCAGCGTCCCTGACCAAGACTTTGTGTTAGCTGGTGTAAAGTTACTGTTATTGTTTATTGCTGTGACTAAACTTCTCAAGTTATTCTTCTTCTGGTGTTTTTAACAGTTAGCAAACAGTTTCAGGGTTTTACTACAACTTTCTGGACTGGAGTGGAGCTGAGCCTGATTTGCATGGAGTCCTGGAAAATCAAGACAGATGCAGTCAGATTTAAGATGTAGCAAACGGAACACATTTATTTGGTTAAGTGTGAACAAAAGTTCTGGACGTTAGCCAGATATAAGACACTTAAAATAACAAATGTGAATGGGGCCTAAGTGCCCTGTGATAGACTGGCAGCCTGTTCACGTTGTACTTGACCTCTTGCCCTGTGCACGCTGGGATAGCCTCCAGGCCCATAGCAACCCTGCAAAGGATAAGTTGTTCTGAAAATGGAACTGAAATACACAAAGAAATGAATGTATTAATAAATAATGATATCGTTTTTTTAAATGAAACAAAAAAGAACCCCAGAAGGACCCATTTTCTACATGTAGACTTTTACTATACTGTGACACAAATCAGCTAGAAACAAATCTGGGACAACCCATAGCAAGGTTTGACTGCATGTTTAAGGTAGAGCAGATAAGACCTAATTAAAATAAATTCTAAAAATAATATAATGTCAACTTAATTAATTACAGAATTTATTTATTTCATTTTGTCTGTAGATTTATGTATTCATTTAATTCTTTATTTTAGCATTTTCCTCTGTGTATATGGTTTAAATCAGGTTTTGTCCACTACACAGTACCACTTCCCTGGAGGATCTACAGTGCAGACGTGTGAGGGCCAAAGCTGCTGTTCTGTCCCACACCTGGGCGTTATATTTGCCACTGCTGTTAGAGTCTGCCTTTGTTACTTTTAATAACTGTGACTGTATCACAGAATCCCACTAGTGTGGATGCTACTCTGGCATGGGAAATTCATGTATTCAGCGCCATGCTCCATAATATATCGCTTACGTCTCCGCTGCAAATTAAGCATTTTACAGGACGTCCATAAGCATTTCCTGTTTTATCACTAGTGAGTGGCTGATCATACATCAGGCTGGCAATGAATGGATGAAGATCACTGCCAGCTCTGTGATTTGTTTGCCTTGCCATGTAGCCTGAAAGTATCAGCATATATTTAGATTCCTAAATGCCCTGCTAACGTAACTTAGCAGATGCTGGGGAGTCATATGGATGTTGGTGTAACAGAGACCCCCTCAGGTATTCTCATTATTCTACTACTGAGCAGATGGCAGGGAAACTTACCACACTTACCATTATCCATCATACATATTCTGCTCCCAATTTACATAGCCGGTGCTTCACAGGAGCTCCTACAGGGAGAATACCTAGCTCCAGGATCGCACTGCAGCTCCACCTGAGGCTTAGGAAGACAGTCTGAGATGTCACTGCCACTACACCTCAAACTCAAATATGCTAATAGTTGAACAGAGGAATTCCAATGGGTGCATCCCAGTTGTATATTTTGAATTGCGAGGAAGAGAAATCTGCAGCTTGTTGATTTTTAAACAGTTTAATATCAATCAGGTAATGATTTACTCTGAAGCAGTTTTAATAAGATGGTAAAATAGTGGCTTTTATTGTATTCTGGAGGGGTACAAATACAGCCTGTCACTTATCAGGACCTCAAGTTTCAGAGTTAATGCATTTACATGTGCTGGCTTTTCAAAAAATACACTGCAAAATGTATGAGCCCTTTCAGATCAAAATAGGAAACTCATTTAGTCAGTTAAAGGCCCTGAAAATGGCTTCTATTTTCTCAATCAGCGTTTTACTATGGCACACAAGCACAGCTCTCTACCAGCAGCTACCAGCTACCAGCTTTGGTTATTTTAAATGAGGGTTTTCTGTGTTTGTGTTTTTGTCTGTGCTGCTCGTAGAGTGGGTGGGGCTCAGTTGGAACAAGAAGAGGTCATGTACTTGAGTGCACCAATCAACATTTAGCTACATCTGAATCCAACTCTTATAACAGTTGACCAGCAGACTTTCGAGTGTTAAACTCTTATTAAATAATAACTGAGGATGTTTTCTTCCAGACTTTTATTGGTGTTTATAAGTAAAAAAATATGTTTTACAAAGGTTTTATGAGGAAGGAAAAGCATTAAACATGTTGGCTAGGGTTCAGTAATACACACAAAGTGTTTTGGTGAGTAACACTAAATGAAAATAGAAACTGTGTTTACAAGTAAAATACATATTTAATGTTAATGCCTTTAATGTTTTAAAGAAAGATTTGAAACCAAGTTTTCAGGGGCTATTCATTCTCAAATATGTTTCACTGTATTTCTGTACGGTGCATTAGTTCATATGGGCATTGTTTACAAAGTGAAATTTCTTTGTCAAAAGGAATTCGTAGCAGGGGAAACCTCGCAGGTAGCAGTAATCAACAGCTCGTTTAACGCTGGTTTGATTTTAAGCTGCTCACAATAAAACACCGGCACTGTAAAGCATTTACATACGTTCCTTATTACATGTGTCACACATGTATACATCCAGGCTGATGATTTACACAGCACTGTTCATACTTTAGTTCCACACTGAAGCTTTTTTTCTGCCCCTTCTCCTCCTCCTCCTCCTCCTCCTCCTCTCTTCCCTCTGAATGGCTCTCAGTGGTGGAGGGGAGCAGCGGCAGTGAGGCAGCACTGGGCCTGAAGGGCACTTTTCAGCCTGGCCAGACACACTCGGGCCTTGCTGCTTGGCTGCGCAACATGGGTCACCGCCTTACATTAGGAGGACCCTGCCAAAGTCAGCCAAGCGGAGCCCTGCAACATACCTGAAAATGAATGAACAAAGTCAATGTTCCTCTGCCTACTGCAACAAAAAAAAAGCATGTTTGACTGTCAGAGTGTGCTTATAACACAATGTGATATCCAAATGAAATATATTAAAGGTGTTAATATGAGGTGGATGGATTTTTCCAGCCATAAATCACATTATCTGTCTAATAACGATGCTCTCCAACAGTTTGGATTAGTGCACCTTATATCTTGGCACTGCATGGAAATGAAATGGCCTCCTGTGGAGCCGCTGGGGGCTCATGCTGAGGTCAGAGGGGGAGACTAAAGCAGACCTCTTGTGTCAGCCTCTGTTATTTATTTGGAGTTGAGGCTCTTCATCACCGTATATCCACTCTGCCTGTCCCTGCTTGTGAGGCAAGCAGCCACATCTCCCAGCTTCTCCTCTGCATCCCACCTTTACAGTCCCACTGATCGACGTTTCATGAGAGGCACCTCAAGGTGGGGCTAAATGGTCTTATATTCCCAATCATGTCGCGTAGGCGGAGTCTGACTCTCACGCTCCTCTTCGCTGTGCGGCTGCCTGCCCAGCCTGTACTGTACATGACAAAAGCGAGAGGATGGAGTGAGTGAAATAAATCCACACTTCATGTTTCTCACAGCCACTTTTTTTTTGGTAATTTGGCAGGAAGAGGGGGTTTTGGATCACTGCGCCACCTTACAAGAAAACCTATCCTAGTTCATGTTAGTAGTAGAAACCAGCAGCCTATCTCTTTTTACGCACACCCTGCTCCAGTGAAGGCAGCAGCAGTTCAGATCAGATTTCACATTCAGCTCCGACCAGCTGAGAGAGAGACAGCCAGAGAGCAGGAGGACTCCGCTTTCCCCTCCGACACCCCTCTCTCTCTGCGCGGCGAGAAAAAAAATCCCCTGCGAGGAAGAACCGGGTGCGCGGCATAAATATTAAAAGCACCACCGGGATTTTTTTCCCCTCCTTTTTTTTCTTCTTTTATGTATTTTTGCAGGATTTCAGCAGCGAGAGCGCCACAGAGAATAAGATAGAGAGGAAGAAGAATAAGAAGCGATGGACGAGCAGCCGAGGTTGATGCACTCTCACACGGGGGTAGGCATGGCAGGGCACCCCGGCCTGCCGCAGCATATGCAGGAAGGCACCGGAGGAACGGACGGCGACGGAAGAAAACAGGACATTGGAGACATTTTACAGCAAATTATGACCATCACGGATCAAAGTCTGGACGAAGCCCAAGCCAGGTAAAGATCCGATTCAGCCTCTCCCCCCGCTGTCAGCAGGAGGCGGCGGCAAAGTAGGTAGAAAATGTTCGAAAAGAAAGAGGAAAGAAAAATGTTTTTTAACAAAAAATACGGGCTGTGTGTTGAGATTTGTACATTTACAATAGGGCGCAGTGTGGATGGAAGTGTAAATGTGAGGGCATTGCACGGCACTGTGCAAAAGCCGACAGAAAGAGTGGGAAACAGCGATGCCCGCAGACACAGTTCGCCTCTCGGGGAAATAAAAGTGGACAACTGCGCGCCTCGGAGAGAAAATCAAAGTGTGTGAATGTGCTGTTTATTACTGTGACATGCCAGCGTGTCGCCCACTGACAATATTTATAAAGCACTTAATACAGCCTGGCTGCATTCTGGAGCTCTAACAAACTCAGCTGATATTTATTTTCTAAATGTGAAATATAATTACTGACTGGGAGTCCGGGCTGTCGTTTTAAGTGGCTTGTTTACACAGTGGCGGCAACTTTCTTGCTTGTGGTGCACAATTCAAGATTTCATCCATCTTGTGCTAATCCACCTTAAATTCAATTGCAAAAGTTATACAGTTAAAATCTTTTATTAATATAGTTGGTCAGAAAAATACAATTATAAATGAATTGTATAATTTTACGCTGACAGCAGCTCAATAGATAGAGCTACAGATTTGTTCAATCAGTTACTTTGTTTGTAGGTTGCAACAATGAAGCTGGAGCACATTGTGTACACGTACAGGTTTTATTATTATCCATTTGAAAACAGTCAGAATTTTTTATTTAAAGAATTCAAATAAATATGATAATAGGCGGCCTTGCTGTCCAGTAATTTAGAGGCTGGATAGGTTTGAGGTATAATATATGTTTCTGTGGTTTGCTCATGAAGCCACTTTTCTGTTCCAGGAAACACGCTCTGAACTGTCACAGAATGAAGCCAGCTCTTTTCAATGTCTTGTGTGAAATCAAAGAAAAAACAGGTACGTTCATGTTAATTCTCCACCCTGTAACAAGAGAACCTGAACACTGCACTGTTGTTGTCTCCATACTGCCTACACCCTCAGTCTCATTAACCAGGTTAAACCAACACAATGCTGCACACTGTATTTTTCACTAATGGAGCCAAACAAAAACCCAAAGAGGCACAGCAACCAGCTCTGTGTGGGCTATTTCACCATCAAAGGCTAATTTGCTATTCCTTCTCAGAGTCACGTTGGAGAGCCTGACGCTGGATTTTCAGTCACAACACAATTCACCATATAAATTTCACTGACATGTAGGACATGTGCTTCCTCCTGTAGCTGTAAAATCTGCGCGTTCTAACTATTTCACAATAGGAACTGTGGACAATTACCTCGAGCAGTCCTTATCAATTATTGTGTCAAAATATGAATGAGCCTTTTTTTGATGCTATTGTGGAATAATGGAGAGTATTGAGCAAAATTGTCACATGCACGCTGATGTCTCCCCTTGTGAGTTAACTGTCAACTCTGGTGAATACGTCTCTCTCCATTCTGTATTGTGTCTCTCTATTAAAGCAGTTGTGAGGGAGCGTGTCAGCAGAATAATTGCTGGGAGAGAAATAACGTAACATAGGAGGCGTAAGTCATGTTTCCAAATCATTTTCCCCCTGTGACATTTCTGAAATTGGCACAGATAGAATTCAGCGCGCTTCAGACTGATAGTGTGCATCTCATCTTTTATTTCCCTGTCTTCAGACTGATGTGCCGCTGTAGGACTCTTCAGAACTTACACTGCTGAGATATTGAGTCGCCAAAGCATACTTTCTGCATGTTTCACACTCATTAGTGCATGAAATCAAATGGAACGGATGGAGGGTGAAGAAGGTATTGTTGTCATTGTACCCACAGTTGCACTTGCTCATACTTGACCTTTGTGGCGGCGTTGACTGGTGCTGTTGATGTTGTTTCTCGTGTGTGTGATCCCACACTCGCCTGGTGCTTTCATGGGTGTTTTCCTTGAGGTTTTCATTGAAGTTCACCTCGCTGCCTGCCCCCCAAGCCCGGCAGTTTATCTTGAATCGGCCACTGCCTCGGGAGAGAGCAGGGGGCCGTTTGAAGCCTGCTGGCGCACTCTTCTTTTTTTGTTGTCTTGGTAGGTTTTTTGGAGGGGGAGTGACACAGTTATGCATAGTGTTTTACTCCCTGGCGCTCCTCGGAGTTCATCCAAAGTTCGGCTCTGCTGAGAGTACAAAGTAACTTGGACCTCTTCCTGCCTGCACACCCATTCTTTTCTCTTTCAGCTGGCAACCTATAAATACAAGGTGCAGCTCAAGGAGCTTTACACAGGAGATCTGGTGCTTGTCTCGTTTGTGCAGACTTTAATTTGATCCAGTTAGCTTTGTTGTACGTTTTAGTGAGAGCCGTTTCACATTTACTGGAATTCAAACGGTTTCTCTAATATAACATTGTATCACTTTAAATTTACAACGCAAGTTTTGAGAGTAAATTCAGCATATTCCTTTGCTTGTTGCCACGGTGCAAAAATCATCTCGATCGCCACAGTTAAGAGTAATATGCTTCAAACACTGTGTCACCTTCGGCAGTCTCAACACCTTCTGCACTGTCGGATTCTAGTGTAAATAAAACATGGAGTGTTAAAAAGATTCATTTCCACACCAAGTCTGTCAAAAAACTAACTTCATTTTAGTCACACACTAGGTAAGAAAAGTCCTGATACAAGTGTTTTTATTCTTTCTTCATTAGGTCCACTTATCAAAAAACACAGACTTAAAAATTAATAATAATTACTTTTTAATAATATTTCGACTCTGCTGGTGAGCTCAGAATGTATTGAATTTCACTTCACTTGACTTTCTAAGTATTGTTTTACTCTTTTACACTTTTGGAAAACATGCCAGTTCTGTACTGAATATCAATATTAATGGATTTTTTAAAAGTTGTAGAAAAGCCGCAGCTTGTTGCTCCCTCTAGTGGTTTGGTCTCCTTTTGAAACTTAATTGACGAGGTTAGAACATTTTATTTTATTTTTCATTGTGTTGTAATTTTCACATCATCAGTTTTTGGCTTAATTTATAGAAAATAAATTATAGCTGTGGTGGTCAATGGCTGTTTTACTTTTTGGGCAGTTGGTAGTGTTGTGATATGTGTCGTTTTGAAGTAGGCACTGTTCTCAGGTTTTCTCTTTCTCTACTTACTTTACATAAAGGCTTTGACAGAAGGCTGAAAATGTCAGAACAAGTGATGCAACTTTATTTTAATGGATAACACCTAATTATTATTTTTTTTACAAATTATAGACAACATTAGATGTAACTGATGTCACCTAGGAAACGAAAATGTACCAGCAGCCCGAACTTTCCCAGTTCCACCTTTAAATATTTCAGTGTTCAGCTTTAGCTGCTCCTCAAAGCTGCAGCTGAGCCGCTCTAACTTGGTCCCAAGTACCATCTGAGTGCAGAGACAGTGTGTATCCACAGAGCTGCTGTTTGCTTGTGTATATTTTCCATCCCTGGCTGTCCCCGGAGCAGCTGACAGCACCTGCAGGACACAATGCAAGTGTTGATCTAGGGCCTGAACTTGTGACCCACTCTGTGTATTTTTACTAGGATGAAGTGAGGGATGGCCAACAGAAATATTGTGCAGTATAAACAGGCACAATGGTTCAGTAACACCCGGGAGGAAAGGACGAGGAAGGAACACTTTATTTAAACCTATGGCTTTTTTTTTTCTTCCTTTTTTTGGCTGAGTTTGTCTTTACCCGGTTTTCATTCCAGGAATATTTTGGTTGTCTTTTTTACTTCAAAGGAATGCTGTTTGTCAGGCGCTGTGCACAATTCTGTGTGTGTGTGTGTGTGTGTGTGTGTGTGTGTGTGTGTGTGTGTGTGTGCGGTATAGTACATTCCTAAGAGGAGACGAAGCATAAAGTATATAAAGCATATTCATTACTCGTTGTGTCCAAAATGTGGAGCAAAGGTAGAAACAGCAGGTTGTGTGTGTGTTAGCGTTGGTCCTAGCAACGGCGGTGTGCTCTGTTATGAGAGGTCCTCACAGAGACTTTCCAAAAATATATCCAAACAATTTGACATTACAGTTATTGGCCCATGAAACCTCATCCTTCCACTAACTGGATTTTTAAGCGAACAGGCTGGTTGAGCAAAGGACAGCAAATGATACGACACAGCTAAATCCAAGTTTGCACTTTCTGTAGGTATCTTTTTAAAAATACTGATCTTTTTAAGGTGGACTGTTTTCTCTTCACCATCAGTTTTTTTATGATTGATGAAAAGGCCTCTTTAGATAAGCAAATGCTTGACAAACTGATTTGGAAAATGAGCCGCCTTGACCTCTGTAAACACTTCACCAACATCATAAATCTCCAGCAGTGTCAAACAAAACCACTCCTTGACTGAGCCGCTCAGTAAACGTGCTGCTCCGACTTGCTGTTTAATTTTTTTCCTCTCAACCTCAACAAAAGGCCAGCTTTCTTGTGGCCCGTGTTTGTGTAGTGTTAGGTTTCAAGCCTAAGGGATCCTCCATTTATAAAAATGACTAGCCGAGTGATGTAATGTTATTTTTTGAAGGGTGAAAATGGGGTGTTTTACAGAGGGCAGCCGAGTAGTGTTTGACAGGATGAAATGAGCCAGAGGTCTGATTATGGAAGGTGCATGGAAGCCTACACTACATTGACTTGTCAGTCCATTCAGATACTTGGCATCTGCCTGTTTGTATTACAGAGGCTGATCTCAGCTCAGCCCTGCACGTCACTGTGCAGACACTTTGAAGCAGCCTTTCGTGGTGATCAGGTAAAATCAGATCAGATGATACAATCTGTTGTAGTGCTGAAGCAATTAGACAGAAAGTGAATTGCCAACAATTTGGATAAGTGATTAATCATTGAAGTCATTCATAGAGGAGAAAGGCCAAACATCCTCTGGTTGCGGCTTCTCCAACGTGAAGATCTGCCGCTGCAGTTTTATAACATTGTAAACTGAATATGTTGTTAGTCAGACTAAACTAGGGCTGCAACTCGATTAATGAATTTATTGTACTGTTTTAAAAACACTGAGCAAATTATCCTAAAGCCTAAGGTTATATAAAATGTATTGCTCGTCCGACCAGCAGTCCAAAATCCAATAGTGTATTAATAGACCAAGAAAAGCAGCAAATTCTCACTTCTGAGATCCTAGAACCATCAAACTTTTGGCATTTTTGTTTTTAAAAATTAGTCATTGGCATAGACCAAGGGACAGATTGCAACTTAATGGATATTGAAAATAGATATAAAGAAAAAGAGCTGCAACTATCATTTTCAATATCCAATAATCTGTCAATTATTTCCTTGATTCATCGATTAATCACTTAGTCTGTAGAGAATTCTTCTCAGTCAGGATTTCTTAAAGCCCAATGGGATGTCTTCAAATTGTTTGTTTTGTCTGACCAACACCACAAAAAGGTTAGTTGCAACCCCAATGTGGTGACACAGAACAAAAGTAATTTATTTTAAAGGTACAGGTTAGCTAACGGGTGCATCTCAAACTGACGTTACCATCAGGAATCCATCTTATCTGTATCAAGGTTTTTCCGGGCTTGTCGGGACTCCCTCTAAGTGTAAACCAGCAGGTAGTAAAAGTGTATGTTAGCTTCTCCGTATTACCAAGCGATGTAGCTGTCTGCTCTGATAGCGAGTGTCGTGTCACGGGGGCTGCGCCTCCCCCTCTCTCGGCGGACGGAGAGACGACTCTCAATTCGTGCAGCTTTTGTCTCCCTCTTATCCTTCCTCCTCGATGCTGATACAGCAGCATTTGGGGTGGGGGGGCTGGGGGGGGGTGAGAGAAATGCCAAGCTCGCCGCCACAGCTGTTTCCCCAATCTCTCTGCTTAATCATCCACTGAAAGAGAGGAAGAAGTCTAATTCTGCTCCGAGGATGTAGACAACTGTGGAAAAATGTGTTTTGATTAACCAGCATAAGGACTTTTTTTTTTTTTTTACTGTATTTG